GGTGGAGCCTCAAGTTAAACCAGACTATCAGTGATGGTGCAGCCCAGCAAAGCAGCACTGGCATCATGAAGCTCGCTCCCTGAGCTCTGTGTTGGGAAGGAACTTCACTGCAGCTCTGTAAAAATACACTGATCACTTTTTTTTTGCTGTTTTTTTGTGTATGTTGCCTCCTCCAACTTTGTGACCATGCCAGCTTTTCACGACAGATCGTAAAAAAAAAAAAAAATCTCTTTGATGTTTGTGGGAAAGCTGAGATTGGCTGAGACCAGGCTTTACTGGAGATCTGAGAGGGAGATATCAAGTCTACACTGGCTGTTTTTTTATGCTCTAGTTCCAGCTGAGACCACTGAACTGCTGCTGTTGGTTTTTAGCAGTTTTCTTCTCTCTTAAACCTCCTCTGTGTTAATATCTTAAAGTTTCTTGTCTGACTGGAGGACAGATTTTGCCGACTGAACACAACATCATTGTCCAACATTGGCTTCTTGGAGACCACGGTGATCGCATGACCGTCATTTAGGTTTATGAACAGAGCTCCAGAGGCATGACAGGCTGGCTCACATTACGCAGTTTGCTGGGGATTGAAACCTCTGGGATGTCCATTTGTGAAAGATCCTTGCCTCTATTTTGAGGGGTTAAGACAATAAGACACTTATACTGTCCCTTCCCAGGCTGAGCCTTAACTCATCCCGTTTACTGGAAGGAATTTAACAGGCGACAGCTGGGGCCCTACAGGGCATGATCCTTCCTAAATCATTAGCAATGATAGACTTATTTCATACAAGGCTTTTCCTTCATGCTTTCTCTCTCTCTAAAAAGCACAAAATTTTGCTTTTGCTGTTCCTCTCCGGCTGTTTTTCCAGTTTAAAATAAACAAACTGCCAAGGGTTCACATCAACATGCTGCCTTTCGGTCATCTTAGAGCCATTCACAGTCACAACATGTGTTATTAACTTGAAAGTGAACTGAACCCTGACTACCCTGGTGTAAGCTTCCAAAGCTGTAGCACCAGGTGACACATAAAGAAAACTTTAACTCATCTAAGATTACAGGTGAAATTACAACCTGTAAAGCCTGGTTGTAACTCTCATGCACAGTTCAGAATAAACTGTAACTAACTGTGTTATCGGTCTTTTTTTCAAAGTCCTGACGTAGCGATAGAATTTTAGTCTTCTGTAAAGAATTCATAAGAGTCTATCTGACGCTTTGCTGTTATGTTATACGTTAAGGGACTATTGACATAATGCAACCTTTTAAGGTCCCCAAATCCCTGGTTTGCTCAGTCTATTTTTGGTTTTCAACTGTTTATCCAGAGAGAGCTGACCAAACATACTGCTTCAGCTCATACAGATGCACACGTTCCCACCTGAGAGCATCTATGTGCACCAACAAGTGCCTACTGTTCTCTCAGAGCGGCTCTACTGGAGCAGTTTGAAGCTAATTGATCAAAGATACGCTGATAACAAGGGGGAGGAGCGGTAGTAGCTACAAGCCCAGATACTTGCCAGGTGGAACAGCGATACTGAAACCAGCAATCTTTGGATCATAAACCTGATTTCAGAGCCCTAAAGCTGCGTCTGCTCATGCTGTTTTTGTGTAATGAAGCCTGAGCTCCCTTGAGACCCATCAACTGCTGACCTGAACACAGGTCAATGACCAAGGAAAGGGAAACTGAAAGATGAGACACTGCACTGTGTGTTTGTGTATGTGTGTGTGCGAGGGAGAGGAAAAAGACAGATCAGAGATAAGGGGATATTCTGTCGCTAAGATTTGGGATGGAAGATGTATTCCATTTGAATGTGTTTTGTGTGTGTGTGTTTACTGAGCGTATTATTATCTCCTGACTGAACCTGCAGCAGCGTGTGCCTCAGGACGACAGATAACATCATTACAAAGCACTGCTTGTCCTAAAACCGCCTCCCTAAGGCAAACATCGCACACAATGAGACAACAGCACACCTTCACTGTATGCAAATAGCAGCTTGTTTGTTATGACTCACAAAGAAACATGTCAGCTTCACTCTGACAGAACGTAGATACTTGTATCTGCCGTATTTGTAGAGAAAAACTGCTTCACAATAAGCTACAGCAGAGCAGCAAAACAATAAACTCAGTAACTCTGGTTGCGTCCTTGCATTCTGCGTTTCAGTTCAGCTAATGTAAAGCAGGATTTGATAAGAGGTAAATTATTTCTTTGTGTTTCTCTCTTTTCTTTTAAAGCAGAAAGTGTTCTACCATTTTAGCAGCAACTGCGATGAAACTTGAGCTGTAAGACTTTCATCCAAGTGCACTTTAAGAATGGATCAGAAGGTCAATGTGTTCACATCGAGGGAAGCCATGGTGGGTCGTTTCTGTGGCCAGTATTATTACTTCAGACGGTGCTGAGTCTTTTCTGGCTTCAACATAAAAACTGTGCTGGAACAACATAACGCTAGCCAAAGGAATATTGTTTCTTTTTCCCTCTGAATGTTGTGTCTGTGTTATGAATCCAGCAGTCTGCATCTTCTCATAAAGTTTAAATCTTTGTCACAGAAACAGAGGCACAGCAAAAGTGTCCATCTCAACAGATAATGCCAGTCATAAAAAAATCCATTCTTATGAGAGGAACAATAAAAATCTTAACAAAATAAGCTAAAGAAACATTTTTCTAGAAATAAGTATCACGATATTATCCAAAGAAAGAATAACTGAAATCTCTGCAGTAGAGGAAAAAATCAACTTCAAATACCTGAAACATAGAATTTAGCAGTAAAAACCAATCGTACTGAAGTGGAATTTTTATTTTATTTTAAATAACTCAAAGACAAAACTTGATATCAAGGTGATTTTTACAGGTAGAAGTGCTGTTTGAGTCTAATATGAACAGACAGATGGGAACATTCAGCTTTAAAGATGATGCAAACCTTCCTCTGTCCATGTATGATCCGCCTGCTCAGGTAATATAATATATGAGCTACAGGTGCCATTTGTCCAGATAATAGCTGTGATCTTTCAGGAGCACTAATGAAAACTCAAAATGTCTTCGTAACTCAAACCAAGCCCTGCTGCCTTTGACTTATGACCTGGATGACATTTTATATACATTTAACACCTTTTAAGGCTTCTATAATTGAGCTACATCAATTTCGGCGATGTTAAAGGGCTGCAGACAGCGCGGTGAAAGCCTGGTGTGTGTCAGGTTGTATAATTTAAAACACCCCCAGGCTGTCCCTGTAAAAGCCAGCCGGTCTGAGACAGCAATGACGTCCTACACACATGCATGCATACGTGTGTGTGCATCGTTTTCCTGCAATAAGTAGAATAAGGTCTGACGGAGGTGAGGAGAGCCAGACCATCCTAAAAGCTTTACTTCTGCTACTGTGTGTCTGAGGTGACAGCTGGATCCTACACATCAGATTGTGGATTTTCCATTTCCTTTCTTCTCATGTTTGTCTGAAACTTTAGCTCTTTTCCATTGTCCAGAAATATTCTGCCTTCTAAATGGTTTTTGGAGGCGTTAGTGTGTATAATGACAATACCATCCATGTGACAGTGTGGTGCTGAAATATTTATTTTCCCATTTTGCCTCCTGTTCATCATACGGTATTTCTAATGAATGTTGTTTTAACCGAACAGACCCACAGCTTGATATGAGAAGCCTCAAGAATTAAGTCAGAACCGTAAAGTAAATTTGGCACATTCATGTTTTCATTTCCATTCCATGTCGAGAACCGCAAAGAGTAAACCAGTGCCTTAATTTATGATGTCTATGTGATGTTTGAACAGGTGCTGAAAAAAAGAGATGCAAGAAAGAAACTGGAAAAAAAAAAAAACATAGAAGGAAAGATGCCTGTCTTTAAAGTATCAGTAATTTGGATAGTTCTTTTTCCAAACAACTGTAAATCAACAAAAGCACTGAAAGAAACTCTTATCCCAGGTGCTAGTATTGATACTTGGGCAAGCTGTTGCAGTGATGAGGGTTGACAGTAGGATCTGTCTGGAGGGGGATCTAAAAGTTCCAGGACTGTTCATATGCAACATGTGCAAGCAGTAACCGTGATGAGTCAGGAGATCATGTGACGCCACGTTATTAACAGCAGGGCTTGTGTTACACGTTTTTGTGATGACTGATGGGTTTGTATTTGTGATTAATCCATAGATTACGACTAGGAGCAGAGAAAAAACCATCCCATTTTGTGCCAGTCAACAACCCGATTCAGCCAGTCTTCATGATGAGGATCATTGCTAGTGAGGTGAGCTCCCACCCAGAGACCACATCGTAGTTTTTACAGTGGAAGAGTCTGAAAATTCCAGAGTTGAACAAGGTGCAACAAGGGGCATGCTCATTGTTTGCCTCAATGTTCACGTAGTTGTGCGCTAGGTAGTTCTACTGTAACATACTGAGGTATCTGAGGAAAGACATGTGGTGCGAACAACCTGAACTGGTGTGCAATGTCATGTTGGTGCTCCATTGTGCGCCGTCACAGCCTGGTGATTATGCAAAATGTTTTTTGGCCACAATAACAAATCCACCAACATATTCACCCTCCCTACTTGCAAGATTTGACTCTATTTCTTTTTCCTCTTCCCCAAAATGAAGTTGAAGTTGAAGAGTTGGAGTTTTGACAAAGTTTAGCAGACTGAGCGCCCATGTCAGATGGTGCTTTGTAGGTTTACGTCACTGGACTTCCAGGTAGTGTTGCAAAAAGGCCGTGAGTGCTGTATTGCTGCACAAGGACACTACTTCGATGAAGATGACAGACAAATTTATCTCAGGTAAGGTTTTAGATTTTCATAGGCTTAGTCTCTGAACTTCTTGATCACTCTCATTATGACCTCAGGAGCAGGGACTTTTTGGGTGGCAGGAGCAAAACTTATTCCTGAATTGCATCATCAGTAAGGGAAATATTCCTCAAAGAAGATTTAGACTAACCTTAGATTGTGTGGCTATCACAATTTTGAAACTTTGAGATACAATTCAGGGATAATTTTATTTGGATGCATAAATTTTGTCTTGTACTCACCACATGGAAGACCTCAGCATCCTGACCGGTGGTGAGAACCATCTGGGGCTGGAGGCCGGATTGGAGGAAGAAGCCATGAGCTGACACCGTGCAGCCTCCGCTACAGGGAGGGGGTTGAGAACGGATATTAGTGTTAGCATCAGAGAGAGACACAGTAGATTCCCACTGGGAGGGACCTGCTGTTAGCATTAGTAGTTTAGCCACTCGTCACCTCCCACTCGTTTCCTACTGCTGTAAAACTAAAGCATTAATCTGTCTCGGCTCATCCACAGCCATCCTCTTTCAAATTCCCCCTCGCTTTCTCTCTCGTGCCTTCTCTGAGGTGAAGAAAGAGCTCATATTTGGAGGAAATTAGCTGAGATGACATTGACAAGGAGTGATATCAATAGCATTCCAGAAAATATAAATGTGTAAGCAGTTTGATGTTGGCCACCATACAGAAATGGAGATTAACAGTTGGAAAGTGGAAAGAAACTCTAAATTAAATCGAAAACCCATTCTGCATAATATGATTCTAACCTCACAAAGGAGCGCAAGGGCTGGATTTTGTTGATGATGGGGTCTTGGTTGTAGGTGAAGAACGTGGGGGCGTGGCGCTCCACTGAATCCACCGTCAGCTTCACAGGCTGCTCTGAGGGAACAGCGTGTGGAGGAGTCTTGCAGGTCAGCATGGTGGACGACAAACTGATGGTGGAGAGATGGATGGGGTCAGGGGGTGAGGGGGGAAGAGTAAACACAGAGGATATATTGTTGTGTTTAGTATGCATACAATGGAAGCTATTGTCCAAGTCGCTATTCATGCATTTCTATTACATTAGTCCTGCAGATAATTCCTGCTGCTTAGGCGGGAAAAGGAACAGAATGAGGAAAAGGGCAAGAAAAATAAGGGGAAATGAATGAAAGACCTTGAACCTTTAACCTGCCCTCCAGCTTGTGGGCAAACTGTTCTCAGGAATATTGTAATGTCAAGGCACCTTTGATGAATGTGCAACAAACGCATTCCTCTGCAGTACATACACTGATCAGCCACAACATCAAAACCACTGACAGGTGGAAGGAAGATTGAACAATATTTCAATTTTAGCTTATAACTGCAGTGGGGAACAATCACCAAATCACAAAGGCTGAAATACAGGCTATACGCTACACAACAAGTCTGGCTCAGGGTATCAACGCCTCAGATCCCAATCTGATCGAGCATCTGTGTGATTCACTAAAACAATCCTGACCCATTAAGGCCCCAAGAGGTCCTGTGTCCATGGCCTGATGGTCAGAGCTGTTTTAGTGGCTCGAGGGGGTCTCATAAAATATGAGGCAGGTGGTTTCAATATCATGGCTGATCACTATATGAATGCACAGTGCAAGCACAACAATTTGTTTCTAAGAAAAAAAGAAATTAAAATACAGAATATATAACAGTATCAGCCAGATAGAATAAAGAACAAGGATAAAACATAGAGTGTGAACTGACCTCTGGATCTTACAGACTGCCTTCCCTACAGTCACCTCTTGCTTGTTTCCAGTATCCAGAAAAGCTCCTCTGATAGTCAGCATAGTGTTTCCAGACTTGGGCCCGAATGTTGGGAAGATTTCATGGATCACAGGGTCCTGGATGTAAAGAAAACCAGACATTTTGGTATACTCTGTCTCTGTTAAATGAAGTTTCCCCATTTTGAAACTACAAACACTGCCTGAGCACAAATGATCAATTATCGATACACTGTCTATGCTACGGCCACTTTAAAACCTTGGCTCAGAGCAAGTGACCAGAAACATAGGACGCTGCTGATGACCTGAACTCATCAAGCATTGTAAAGTCGGCCTCAACTTGGTCCATCTTTAAAATGTATATAGGTTAAGCTTGATTCTTATTTGAACTTTATGACAAATCAAGTCATAAAAAGTAGGAAAACGTAGTTCTTACCACAAAACTGAAACCGTCCATCTTGGCCACCTTGTTGCCACTGGTGACCTTCACTGTGTATCCTGACGGGGTGAAGTTCCCACTGAACACTGGGGAACAGTGCATCTCAGTCCACCTACACCCGAACCCCCCCCAAAACAACACACAGACCTGGCATTATACCCTGCTGCAGCCACCCAGCATTTAGTCTAATTCAATGATGATCCAGTACCCTGCAGGAATGCACAAAGACACAATCTTCATCTGGAATTGTGTGGGCAGTGTTTTTATTTTTTCCCTCGCAATTTGTAATGAGGTTGTTTGTAGGGGCTTTTGAATGGGACATGGCCCCAGTGGATTTGGAGGGTGGAAAGTCTGGATTCAGCTATTTTTCCCAGCAATTTTTCAGTTAAGGAAGTCATGTGTTGAATGTGGCAGGCTCCAGAAGAGAAAGAGGGGGGTTGCTTCTTAACATTCTTCCTTCAACACAATAAACCCTATTAAACCCCGATAGGACGCCAGTGTACGGGACCCTTTATCTCATAAACACCCACCACTTGACATACACTCTGTCTCTCTCTGCTTCTCAAAGGTGGCTTTTCAGATACCATGCAGCGCTGTTTTTCACACACCAAAGAATGCCAGCACAACTTGTACAGGAACAAAACACATGTACACAATTCACTTCTTTTTAAATGTGAGAGCTCTATGCTCCTTGAATCAAACACACAAACACACACCTGTGGATGTTGTCTTGTCTGAGCAGTTTGCAGGGAGCTCCCGCCACCTCCACAGTTACCAGTGAGGCCTTGAACCTCTCTGACTTGTCGAAGCCAAAGTTGCGTCCGCAAACTGTCACCACTGTAGAGCCTCGTATTGGTCCAGAGGTTGGAAAGATCTAGTGTGTGCAAAAGGAATATTCACGTTAAAGATTCAGCACTTTTCCTCCCAAAAAGGTTGAGAGATTTAGAAAGTCTTGCGCAGTTTCTTAATTCCCACTACAATTTTGTTTACATTTTGTAGTAGCTGCTGAAATCAAGAGGTTTTATTCCATCCTTATTTAGACATTTATCTGACAACATTTTAAGTATATGATGCAGAAAAGTAAACTACAACACTTGGAAAACAGCATCCAAACATTGAGTTTTGTCTAAAGAACATCCATTTGACCTTTCTGCGGACAGTTTTTAAAAACTCTGTCTATAAAACACCACCAGAGAAAAAGGTGGGGTTTAAGGGTCTTCTTATCCTACCAATCCATTTTGCTGCAGTTAGGGCAGTGGAGACCAATCGTGCTTTTTCTACATGCAGACAGTCGACAGACCTGCGTGGGGTCCAGTATTACCATTAAAATAAAAATTAGCCACTGTGAAGTCCTACAATGCTGTAAAGTAGGACAGTGCAAACACATTCAGAACACAGGTTCAGCAGAGAGGTTTTATGAGCTGTTTCTGGCAGGAGAGGAGAGACAACAGTTTGAATAACTTGCATGATGTGATCACAACTGTAGCAGGTGACCCAGCAGACTGAGTCAGAGGGAAACTGAAAAGTTACTTGAGTTTGCTTTTACATTCAGATTATTTGCACAGTTTTGAAACAGCTGTGACTCGAACAATGAAGAAATGATTAATTTAAGCATTCTCACACTGAGGTGGATAGATTGGGGAAAAAAATCATGATGGTGTTTTGCGATGGACAAATAAAAAATCATGACCTTTGTGAAACAATCATAGCCATGGTAGCGAGTACCTTAGTGATGACTGGTGTGCAGTAGTCCTGGGTCCAGACAGTGGAGGGACACTGGTTCGCTCTGGTGCAGCGTCCATTACACCAGCCGCATTCTGTCACTCTTGATGACACCAAACAGGAAGTACAGGTGGTCAGCTGACCACAGCCGGGGCCAATCAGAGGGACCTTAGTGATCTAGGAGTGAGGACAGAATTTAGGACAAAAAAGAAAAATTAGCCACTTTGTTTTTTTTTTTTAAGATTACTTTTTCTGGCATTTTTGCCTTTATTAGTTAGGACAGCGAGAGAGTGAGACAGGAAAGGAAGAATGGGGAGAAACCTGCAGCAAACTGTCGTGAGCGGGAGTCAAAGTCACGACTGCTACGTCGGGGAACTACAGCTCCTATTCATGGGTCGCCCACTCAACCAGGTGAGCTATAGGGGCACCCGTTTAGCCACTTCATTACATTCTTGGGCAGAAAAAGACGGAAAGAAAAAACAAAACAATTTGGCTGCAGAATCCTAGTTGTAAGCCTGTGGGAGCATTATTCTGTTTTATCAGCTTGCTCTGCTCCCTTTTGATGGTTGTCTATTCACATAAGTTTTTGTAATCATGTCACTAATGCAAGAAATATTGAAGATTTTATTATTGTTTTTGTTCAGGGATGAACCCAGGGCTACCCAACGTGTCCAATGCAATATGCTCTCTACATGGCACAACTTTGTTTTCATTTACCATTTCATGAAGGAAAAAACCAAAAAGAAAAACAGGATATATAATCTGTGGTTCACAGCCCACCTTGTTCCCTGTGGCCATTAGCATGGCTCCATTTGCATGGCCAGAGTCCAGCAGTGCCACACTGGCAGAGACGGGTCTCGAGTCCAGGCGGATGTTGACATGGGGAGAGGCAAATCGGGAGAACAGCACCTAAAAGAGGGAGGACATATCATTGTAATCATCCTGAAGGGGCTTTTATTGTAACATAAACAAGAAACTCTGACACAATTTATCATTAGCTCAGACTGCAAGGAAAAATGAAGTCTTTTTGAGATGTTCTCACAAGGAGTGATTGTCAAGCAAACAGCGTGCGGCAAAATCTATGATTTAGATAGTTTTCAATTATTGTCAGCAATCAACAAACCAGGTTTAAATAAACATTTTAGGCAATACTTTTTAATCAAACCCTGTCACCTCACACAGACAAGGCCCTGTATCAGAATCTTGGCCTAAGGCTTTGTGTGGAGTTTGCATGTTCTCTCCGTGCAGCGTGGGTTCTCACCGGGTTGTCCCACTGCCTCCCACAGTCCAAAGACATGCTGTGGTTAATTGGTGATTCTAAATTTTCCGTAGGTGTGAATGTGAGTGTGCTTGGTTTTCTATCTCTATGTGTAGTCCTGTAATAGACTGGTGACCTGTCCAGGGTGTCCCCTGCCTTCACCCTAAGTGAGCTGGGATAAGCTCCAGCCAAACTGTGACCCTACAGATAATAAAGTGATGTACAGATAATGGATGGATGGATTTTTTAATCATACAGTCTTCAAAATATTTGCATGTACAGCGAAAGAAATGATCGTAAATGGTACTTAAACATTTAAATATAATCTGTTAGAAAGACATACCACCAAAGAAATCCACATTACCTGATTTGTTCTTTATGGTATGGCAGTGATTTGTATATTTCATCTGTTACATCTCTTACTAGAGATAAAAATGATTCATGCAATGTAAGTTTGCATCAACTCAAAGCGACGTCAGGCACAAAATGACTGACAAAGAAATTTGGTGTTCACTGTTTTTTTTTATATACCACCAGCACCCAGGTCAGATCAGGACTCCGTTTGGAGGTGAGATACTGTTACCTCTGTTTGTCACTGTTGCTATGTTTTTTTGGAACACTAGTCGTGCACTGATACAAGTTGTGAATTCAGTAAGGGGGAAAGATTATATGGGGTCTGGAATATGCAACAATAGGACAGCAGGAAGACATCACATTTTTTGGCCGACACACCTTGACTGAGAGCTGGAGGAGGAAAATGATCCAAACCGTGTCATCTTTCAGTGGGTGATGCCTTCATTTGGCTTATTTGTAAAGCAGACTCACTACTAATGGCGTCAAGTCCAGTTTCATGGTCTTCACAAGTCGTGGTTAATGTACTGACTCATTGCAGACATTTTGATTTGGCATAGAGGGAAAAGCACAGGTGTAACTAACACCACTAATTATGTGTCTGTTCCATTTAGGTGTGTATTATCAGGGGATGCAGTCATTATTAATGTCATTAGATACACATGTTTGACAAATCAAAAAGTCTGCCAGACTATTATCATTACTTTTTCTCCAACCTTTCACCATTTTGAGATGCACCTCACAAACTCTAATTACACATTTCGCAAGAATGGCATAGCACATGTCATTTCTCTGGGATGTCCTGAGCCAATGTTACGGATCAAAACTGATATGTTTATCTTATCAGCATTAACCCATTAAGTCCAGTCCTTTGTATATGTCCACTGCCATACAAGTGTCAGAAAGGGAGAGCACAAGTTGTGATGAGAGACGGAGGCCATTAGGGGAATTGAAATCTTTGTCATGGTGCCTGGTACTAACTAAACTTTTACAAAGCTTTCTGATTGTGAACATGGAACTGTCTGTAGTCCGAGTGATTACCGCCTCAGACCGCTGCAGTAGTTGTACAGCAGTGGACAGCCGCCTATAATTACTCCAACTGCTTCCATCCTGCTCCTATGAATGCACATATTTATTTAATATCTAGTAGTCAAGATTGCATGCATTTGGCAGACTGTATACTAATTGCAGTACATATTATTTAATCTAACTTCTTGCACTTGCAGAACATTCTTTCACCGACACATACTTCACGAAACCATGTCATGCACACATAGGCTCAAACAACTCCTCATGGCAACGACAAAACAGCACACCAAATTTCCCTCAAACACACATGAAGCGAACACACCTGGAGCAGCATTTAACATTTGTGGTTACGCTGCAATTACAGGCCTCGGAGCAAACAGAACAGAACAGGGTCTCTAATGGGGTGTGTGGTTTCTCCAGTTACATGAAGCCCTCTAAATTATACACACACCCACACACACACACACACACACACACACACACACACACACAGATAGATATAGCCCATGGACAAATACACTTTTTTTCCCCTCTCAAGATGGAGCTGCAATGTGATTCGTCCTCCAAAAACAAAGCACCGTGTTATGGTGTTGTCAGCAAAACAAGTCACACACACATACAGCATGAGACACACTGATGTGGCACTGCAGGGAAGAGAGTTATGGTGTGTGATTTATTCTATTGGACAAAACACTGCATGATGCTCCCACAGATTGTTTTACGGTCTTGTTGTAAGTCTCCCTGTACCAAAGCCCTCGGTAAATGCTTATATGCTCTGCATCGTGAATTTTAAATGGAATTTTGTTGGCTAGCTGATACACCGCTCCCCCTCAGAAACGGCTTGTTTTCCAGCATCATTCCTCTCACTGTTTGAGCCTCATGATCAACGTTAGCTTTGTATCAGCGAGTATAATAGGTGGCTTTCCTCTGGGGATGAAGCTATACAACAGGCATCTCTCTGGAGGTAATAGCGGTGTAAATTACAGCTTATTGTATTAAGCAGGCGGGGGGAAGTTTGGCCTATAAACACGGCCACTGTGCCATTCCCACAGTGCCCCACTGAAGTTGAGGGAAACACTTCCTGAGCCAGAATGGAGTCCAGTGGGGGCGAACAACGCTCTTTTTCTTTTACTGCCTCTATTACATGTTCCCTTTTGCCCTGTCTGCTGGGAGCAAACAGGAAACAGAAATATGTGAAAAGTTGACAGGTTCTTTTTCACGTACTAACAATGAAATGAGCTGCCACAGCAAAGACGACCACCTCTCACAGATTCTTGTTGTTTCTTAGCTTTGGACCGAGACAGCAGATGGCCGGAGGATCGTCATTTCATAAGCACGCCAGGGCGATTTACAATGGGAAAAGTGAATTAGATACTGCATTCACACCAGTAAGGGCTGTAATCTTGGATCAAGACAACATTTTACTTGGAAGTCCACAGCAACTGTTTACTACCTGTGATCAGAGAGGGAGTTAACAAGTTTACTACATCTTTATTTGGGGGGTAAAAAAAAACTGAACACAACCAAAACGGAAAAGGAAATTGTGCCCTCACGCACTCCTGTGCAAACATATCACTTTAAAGCTGACCAGAACATTGGTCTGTGATGATGCTTTCAAAGCTCAATTTGGGTAATAACATTACTGTTCATCTTTATCTAATAACTAGATAAGCTTTCTTCTTAATATGTGTTAAGAACTCATTCTATGCAAATCTATTTATCTGAAATTCTGCTTTAGGGTCGACAAAAATATGTTTACATGCTTTAATGTTCAAAACTGTGACTATTTGCCTCATACTGTACATTGCTGCAGCACCTCTTCTTAACCTCCGTAACGCTTAGTTTTAACCTGTCACTTTAAGGCTGCTCTCTAAAACAGCTTAATTTGTTCTGATGGATCAGCAGGCCATACCAAGTGAGGTAATGTTGGTTACTTACTGTCACCTCACATCTAGGAATATAAGTAGAAATGAACAAAATAAAGGTGGGCTGTGAAAGATTTGCTCATTTTTTGTCTGAGAGCATTCCAAACTAGGCACTAGGCAGGGATTATGTAAATGTGTTACATAGTGATGTAAATAAGTAACGGAAGAAAAGCCTGGACTTCAAAGGAGGTGTTTTAGGCAGGTAAAAAGCAGTGTTTTTCTCTTTAGTGCGGACTTTGTTCATTTGCAGACATAAAAGTGCTGTGACATGCTAGAGGACAGCAAAAAACCCTAAAAGCAGAATTTGGGTTGTGATTGTTCCTACTTCGATTGACTCGATGCTACTCCTAAAAAACACCACAGTTTTCAGCAGAGTCTCATTTTCAAAGTGCCACCTCGTCGCAAGACTGTTGTTGCAAATTGAATAGGAATGAGAGAGAGGATGTCATGATAAAAAACAGATTTCCTGTTCATTTTTTTAATGTTCTCTACTATCTTTCCAACAATCGTCCTTGCATTTCATTCCTTTCTCTTACTCACTAAATTTTCTTTGCTTTTGCTTGGCTTATGTCTCTCGGAAAGTATTTTTTTAACCATCTGTCCTGTTTTTTCTCTTTTCCTCTCGAATGTTTGATACCTCTCTTTCTGTCCCTGTTCACTTCCATCTCCATCAACCTGGCTTAGGTTGAATCTGGTATACTCTGGGCAGAAATTTGTTGAAGGGGTGGCGCTGCACTCGAGGTAATGTTGACAATAATGTCAACATTGGAGTATGACTAGTATCTATCAAAAGTTAATAACATTTTGTGTTTTAGTTTATTATGTCACATATCTCGCTCCTTTTTTAGTATTTACAAGTGCAAGTGAAGTCTTTTTGTAGTGTTTTATAGAAAGTTTTTAAAGTTAATGTTAATTGAAAACGAGTTGAAACATTTCTAGTGCATTAGCAGATTTGCTCACTTGTTTCAAGAAAATAAAGTATTCAGGACATAACTTTCGATAAAATGACAACTTTTGCAGTCTGGGACAGCTGGTCTCCTCTTCAGACTTTTGGCTACAACAATGAACTTCAGCCAATTCAGCCAACCACAAAAAAACAAGAAAGGACTGAAGGAGGGCCTGGGAGTGTGGTGGGGTCGGGTGGTGGTTGATGGTCGCGAAACACACAGCAACAGCTGCACGGAACACTCAGCGAGTAGAAAATGCCGTGCGAGGGAACGTGTCCGCGAAGCCCGCCGTTCAACCATTAACGTGCCGTTCGGCTTGTAAGCCCCCTGGCAGCCCACTAGCACCGTCTCTGCCCTCCCTCCATCCCTCCCTGCCTTTCCGTGCAGCTGTCAGCCCTTTTTTCCACGTCTCTCTTGCCATTTTTTTCCCTCTTGCATGTCTTTTCATTCTTGTGTTTCAAAAACACGTGAGGTAATTCAGCTTTTACTTTGGGTTTCATTCCATTTGCTATAGTTTCTTACTGATGCACCAATGCAACGTGACTCACTGCACTTCACTCTGCAGCTGCAACCGCCGCATGCAGAGTGTTTTATTGTTAGAGTGGACGGCGAAATAACAAAACACCACATGAAAAGGGAAAGTAGTAGTAGTGAGTCACAGTCTGAGATGCAGCAACGCAGGCCTGTCATACTGAGTTGATTACGCTCAATGCCAAAGTGCTTTATTTTACCTTGATAATCAGCAGTTCTAATGACTGTTGTGCAAGTAAGGCACCTCTAACAGGCCAAACTCTCATTTGAACTGCAGGTGCACTGGCACTAAAAGCTACAGAATTTTCCATGTGCTATTTATCAGCCTGGAAAGTCATGAAAATATATCTCAAACTGGATGATTTGCATGTTTATATATTTATCAAATTGGAGTAAATTTGGCTAAAAAGAACATCTTTTTACAGTTATGCAACAGTGCATCTCTAAATCCCAAGTACACTTCTATGTAACCTATGCAAGAATCTCACACAGTTCAACCAAATTCAGCCTAATTTGAACCCGTTTATCAGAATATGTTTTGACCTATAAATTACAAAACCAGTACTTACTTCAACTTTAAATATTTGCTAGAGGGGGCCCTGATAAGACTATAGAAGCACTCTCTGACAGCAAAAACTGCAGTATCTTAGTTTCCGTTTTTGTCCGTTTTGTCAGTTTTAATTCAAGCCTGTCCTCACAGATATTTCTGAAGCAAAAAAAAAAAAAAAAAAGCACATAATTGTTATAGATAAAAGGAAACCAGTGAAGGAACTCTCAGTTTTGGACTTCAGTATCACTAAGAAAAATACCTGTGCAAATATAAAATACCTTCTAAGCAAATATAAGAGAAATGGCTCTACCAATAAATGATCCACATTGTTTCTGACAGATCTGCTTCTTGTTGGAATCAGCCTTCTCAAACAACATTTTTTAAACAACATACAGAGGTATACATGAACAACATTAACTAGGAGCCACTAGTCTCTGCCCTACTTTTATAACACCATCCCCTGACTTAAATACCCTAAAACTAAAGAAGTAATAGAGACTTGTCATGGAGGAGACACTGAAAACAGCTCAGGAGAGTGGAATCCACTGCTGGTTTGTACACTGATAGACTAAAGGGCCTATGTTTGCTCAGATGGCAGACTGGACCTTTTTTGGAGGCTCACTGAGCATAGTTCAAAGGTAAGCAAATTGTGCAAACAGAAAAATCCTGGTGCTTGGTCATAGTTTCCTCCAACCTGCTTTTAGCAGAGGCACCTGCAGCTGCCTGTCTCCAGCAGTGCGCTTTCACTCCTCACGTACCAACATCCTGCCACATTTACATGAACAATGACAGAGGAAAACTGCACTGGCCACAGTAACCTCAGGGTCCCTGTTTACGCCAAACTGCTTGCATTTTACAGGCAAATTAAGACCCAACCATCGACTTCCTTACTTGTATGTGGCGTCCATCGGCAGTTCCTAGGTATGCTATGACGCGACCATGGACTGGTACCACGGTAATCGAGGTAACCAAGGTGTTTGTCAAGTCTTTGTGCCAGTACTCCAACCTCTGGACAAACTGGGTCACCTGCAGATGGTACTTGCCCTCTTTCCCTTCATGGATTCCTTCGTGCAGGTCACAGTCGTCTGATGAACTCTGAAAGAAAGCAAAAGTGTCAGTGAGAGAAAACTCACTGTACCTTAGAAATAACAAAATCTACAGTGACATATCAGTGAAGAGAGGGATTTCTCTTGTGGTTACAGGCATGACAGTAATATGGCATAGGATGTAGCCAAGAACTGCCAGCAACATCACTGTGGTCATGTTCAACACTAAAAACACATATTTGAGGAAACTTCTAGTCAAAAATCATTAACCTCAAAACATAAAAATCTGGAGGAATGATGAAGGAATGCTGATCACCAAACATTTGACAATGCACTGTCAAAAGAGTCTGAGATTGGATTCCGTTATCCAAACACACTCTCCTTCAAACCACCCGCTATATAATATCATGTTGAACTATGTTCTTTCATATCTGCCCTGATGGGGGAGGGTTGAGAGCCAAACCTCCTAAGCCCCCCTTAGCTACTCTTTCATCAGGCCGTGCTCGTAATGGAGGTCTCGGCGCAAGAGTACCTCTAGGGCAAGCACAAGCTTTGTTGAAGAGCGGCTTGAGGATGGCAAGATTTCATGGGAAACAGCGAGAAGACTTTCATGCTGTTTTTCATTCCATGAAATGCTTTTTCTCTCTCCGACTGTGAAACCCCCCCTTCTTCTCCACCCTCCTCATTCTGAACTTCAATCTTTTCACATGAGTTTAGAACTAAAATCTGTTACCCCGGCTCCTGTCTTTGGTTTTCAAATGTCGCTGGGTTGTGCAGATTGTTGTGTCTGGAACCTTTGGAGCATACAGTGAAAGCAGAGACTGTAGCCAAAGTTGGATACAGGGCCTTTTCTCTATCAGTGACCCCCTCCCTCTCCCCTTACTGCCCAGCCCTTCTCTCTCTGCTCTGGCTCTTTTTGTGTTTAGTCATGGCCTCCTGTCCCAGCCTCAGGTTTCATTAATTATTAATGACCCAGAGGGTGGCGGGTCTCTTGTGGCTCTTAAGATCCTTGACCTAGCTGCTTGACCAGGCCTCAGCTTTCTGTTGTTTTCTCAGCTTCAGTGGATGATGACCTCTTCACTTGAGTTGCAAGAAGAGAGGAAGGAGTACAGGTGGAATGATTATTGTAGTGCTATTAGTGCATACATTATAAGCAATTTTTAGCTGATTCCTTATTTTGACCTTTTATTGTGCCTTGTATTATGCAAATGCTGCTTTTGATCATCTCGTGATCTCTATCTCATGCCATTCCTGGGTCATTTTGTGGTTCGTGTGGAAGTTGCTGCATCATTTGTTTAGTGTAGCTCTCAAAGGGAAGCTTTGATGAGGAGAACAATAGTGGAGTAATAAATCAGCAAAGATTTTTTTTTTTATTTCTTCCATGATGACGTTAGCTGAGACGAACTGGACCCCATGAAAAGGAAAGGCGAAGAAGGCAGAAAAATCTGGCTAACTTTCAAGCATGCAGCAACAGACCTTGGTTAAATTAAATATCCTCGAGGCCAGTGACTGCAGTTGGAGAGACAATGGCAAAGTCAAACCCAAGGAAAATGTGGAGGAAATTGAAAGCTGGCAGAAAGATTGATTGTTTTGATGCCAAATGCACAGCTGGCAAGTGGTTAAGCCAGCTGATCTGCACTGAATTACTAAGTGCAAAAAGAAGAAAAATAGTTCAAATTGGATAAAGGATGACAGTTAGTGGCTGAAGCTGATTTAAAATTGGATAATGATAAGGACACGTAAGAAAGTAGACACGTAAGAGATTGACAGAGTCTGAGAGTTAAGGCTGATGAAAATCTCCTTGTCTTCAAACAGGATGAAAGGCTGTTTCTGATGTGTTTATCTTTGTATGTGTGAACACCTTTACAATGTCTTCCTCTTCCAGGAAGTTCCGTTTAAATTACGATCCATCACAAGTCCTTTTCGCACTTCCCGAACTGAACAGCTAGCACTGAGCACACATTGAAAAGCATAGGAACATGCCAGAACTCTCCTGACTTCTCTGTGCAGCAGATAGAGACATCACCACTGCAAAGATTATGCCACGCGGCTCAAAAAACAGGCCCCAGGCTGATTATTTTCAGAGCAAACAAACAGGACTTTGGGGTGTTTGTTGAAGCGGAGCAGGACGGTGGGAGGACGAACTGAAAAGGTCTAGGAGGCATTCCTTTGCCTCTGCTTAGGTATTCCTGAGGATCAAGGCAATGAAATTGGACAGTGGAAAGACTGTTTTGACAAGCTTCGTTTGAAGCTTGGCTGCTGTTATGCTTGGATGTTTCTTGGCATGAAGACAGGGAGTTTTAGAGACCGAACACTGACACATGCCATGGAGGCAAACAGGTTCCCCAAGAGGGTGTAGTCTCTCACAAGGCTTGATAAGGACCTCAAAAATAGATTTTTAAATTCAGAGAAACAGAACCACCAAATAGCAGAAGACCCAAAGAATTTGAACAAGAGTTTGCAGTGGCCAGACATGAACAGCAGTTTTCACAATGAGCTTGACGCTAAAAAAAATCAAAAAATAATTCAACAATACCTGTACAGGAAAAAGGAAAAGTTCATCTTCAATTGGCCTGTAACTCTTTTAATGGTCGCTTCAGAATAGAAGAAAATTAAGAGTTACTCATGATATGTTGCCAACGATAACAACGGTATCACAATACAGCCGTACCCGATACACTGAAGAACAATCATTGACAATACACCTCAATATCTGCGTAAGCGACGAAGGGAAAAAAAAAAACAATGCAAAAAAGGCAAAAAGGAAGAATTTTGTGGTAAACCTCCACACAGTGTGTACCTATGTTTTGTTTTCTTTCTTTACGGTGTATCAAGGTGTGATCATTCCTTCATACTTATGTGGTTATTTTAAAGTTGAGTCTTTTATTCCTGAGTAGGTCACTAAAATGATCAATAAATAATAAATATTGACTAAAAGGAAACATCTTATCAGCATAGATCTTTTTAGCTCTATGGTCCAGCCCTACCTGTTGCACCATCTCTCGATGATCTCCATTGAAATTGAGGTATTAGTTGTGTCCACTTTTCATTAACAGTCCTGTAGTTTTAGCACTGATGACAAAACAAGCCATCATCTGACAGTATGTACAGTTTCACTAGTAAACTCTGATTTATCAAAAACCTCATGCTTCATTAGAAGCTTAAGTTGAGTTTAAGGCAGATCTTCATGTTTCTGCTACATTCATCTTTTGGAAGATTTATGGTGTTAGCAAGTGCTCCGTATGTTCTACACCTTTCAAGCCATTTTGTGAACGTGTCTTTCAGCCATGGAACAGGCACCATGGGGCACATACGTGAGATATTATACACCTCTCGCCCCACACTTAACCAGGAGCCATTGTCCCCAAAACAACGGCACTGCGATAGGGTTTCGGTGTTGTGGAGCTCCCAAAGCCTGCGGCACTGCTCAGCAGAGTCAAGAGGAGGGGTGAAAGGTGATCCACGTAGCCTAATGTCGTTTTCATACTCTCACTGTGGCCCCTGGGTCCTGTGTGAATAGACACACTAATGCCTGAATTATAAACCGTGGACTGGGTTACTGGCAAACGAGGCTTCGGATACGCACACTGTCTGTGCAGTGCAAAAATAGGGTAAAGGCGCTTGTGCTAATGTACCAAAATACACATTGTGTTGCAGAGGCTTAGCCCCGAGTTAGCAGACTTGCACACATGCACAAACCCACGGAGTCTGTCTCATTGCTGGCCGCTCAGCTGGCGCTCTCACTGGAATAACAGACCTCTGACCTGCACAATGCTTGTGCAATTGTGCGCTCCAGACTGCAGAGTGGTTTTGTTGTCGTCGGGGTGTGTGGAAATGCACTTTCTAGAGAAAGTGAAATGCGAAGGAATGCTCAGGCCGCATGTGGGCTTGTGGTTGTGTTTGTGCATGTGTGCGTGTGTTGGGGGGAGGGTATTGTTGCGGTGGTGTTGGGACACACATTACAGTAGTCCACCTGGACTCAGTGTGCACGATACTCTGCAACCTGACTCTCAGTAGCTGTAACAACCGTAGTGTGTGTCTGAGTACATAGGTGGCACATGCAGTCATGTGTTAATGTGTGCTTGCATGTGTGTGTGTAGTAGAGGATGTTAGGGGTGTTAGGGACAGTTAAGGGAGTGAGAGATGCAGACAAAAAGGCGAAGACAGACCCCGGCGCTTACAATGCAGCTGGTCTTGCCCTCGGGTGGCCCCCCAGACGCCAAGCAGGACTACAACTTTGTTTATAATGGGGTCCCGAGGTGGGCACGGCCAGGGGCAGAAAATGGCCTCACACATAAACAGGTCCAACTGAAGACAGGGAGAATACGTGATGATTATAGTAAAATAGTAGCGGAAAAAACTGAAGCGGACTTTAGGGACGCATTTTCCTTTTACGAAGTCTGAACAACTACTGTTGTTCTAGAACTTGTGGTGATGTAATACGACTAACAGTGATATATCACTTTTTAATCATTACACAGTGTTTAGTCTAATAGATAAAGATTGTAGACGAGACAGTGGAACATTTTTCACAGACACACTCTACTTTTGGAAACGCTATTTCAACCCATTTCACACATCTGATTCCAAAACTGGACACCTTGAAAAAAAAAAAAAAAAAGAACAAATAATCTGTTCTCGTTTTTCAAACTGATAGATTAAGACACATTAAGCATATTTAGTTAACCTCCTGTTTCTCCTCATGTTTCATAGCACACAGGTTGTTGGATCCACAGATAATGGATTCTCTATGTGGCATAAAAAATGTGAATTTGGATTCATTTAGTCATTAGGCATATATGAATGTTTTCCAAAATAGGCAGTGCTCTGAAAATGGCAGTCATCCTGCTGTCGCTTACTGCGGCTGTTTGAGTGCAGCAAACTGGAGGTTTCTAAAATCACCGCTTTCCAAAAGACATCCTTCATGTAAAATTCCATGACTGTCATTTGCCAGCCTCTGAGGCTGCAAGCAGCAACTCCTCTGAAGTCTTTCCTCAGTGCCTGAAGAGTGAGATACATATATTTACAGTAAAGGCAAAGCAGATGCAG